CTGCTCATACTTGGAATCAGCAACTTTCATTTGCTCAGTAATGAAACTATCAGCTCTTTCGGAGTTCTTTAGGCGCTAGCTTCGTCTCTTATTGGCTTACGTAGAGCGCTTTTGGTTTTCACACAGTAGGTAATGAAAAGGTGTCTTTAAATCGTCTTGCACCTTGAATCTAAGCTGAAGTCAGTCAGGTATGTTACTTAAAATTTCATGAAATATGACAAAACAACAGATTTTTCTTAAAGATTTGTCATTTTCATGGGACACTCCATATGAGAAGTATAGATATGTTAGAAGAAAGTAGATGCATTGGTACTTCAATATTCACATTCACACTGCTCTCTCCTAAAGTCACCTCGTATGGTGGAGAATTGTTTGACATTTTTGCAGACTAGTACAACTAAAATGTGGCAAAGAGACCTTCCCTTGTTTACTGTATTTTTATTCACTCCTTTGCCTACCAATTCTAATACATGAACAAAATATAAAGGTTCAAAGAATGAACTTCATCTCCTTTTTAATCTGAGATCTACCATACCACAGTCAAACCGCTACTAGTTTACTGCATTTCTGGCATGAGGTAATGGCGGCCTTTCTTTTTACCTATCTTTTCCGATGACTGGATGAGAGATTGAGTTTTTTTTTTGCAAAAAAAAATTCGAACAAAATGAGCTAAAAATAAATTCAAGGACGAACTTCATGTCCTCCTTTATCTCAATATTCTCCCAAACCACAGTCGAATTTACCAAGGCAGAGGGACAGCTACTGGTTTACTGCATCTCTAGCATAAACTAATAGCGGCCTATCTTTTTATCCATCTTTTCCGATAACTCAAGGAGAGACTTTTTTTGCATAAATCAAAGAAATGAACTGAAAATAAAGGATCAAGGGATGAATTTCGCCTTCTTTTTATTTCAATATTCTCCCAAAACACAGTGAAACTTACTATGGAGAAGGACCCCCTATCACAGAAAAATGGTACGGGAAGGGTTTTCTTAAAAAATGTCTGTCTCTCCTGCATATTTTGCAGTGTCATCGTGGTCCAACGCATCGCCGGTCGCGCCATTTAGGCCACCTCGAAGTGTGTCGGCTTGCTCATCACCTGCAAGCAATCACTTAATTTCACTCGTAAAGCTTTCGTCGCTGAGCTTTATAACAGGAAACATATGCGAGCCAATTCCAATGCCCCACACTTTATCGTTTTCTGAGTGATGGTGGCCTGTCGCCTTCGAATTTTCCACTT